GGTCCTGGGGGTGGCAGGCTTGGAGCACAGGCGGCCCTTGGGCTCTCCTCCAAGGAACCCACATCAAAGAGTGGACCAATCCCACCTGGTGGGGAAACTGAAGCACAGAACAGCACGGGATTTTGTCCAAAGCGCACAAATCAGCAACAGAGCTGGGGTTTGAGCACACGGGGCTCAGACTCCTAGGACCTGGCTTTGAGTCACTGCTGGGCAGGGGCTATGCTGACTCCCCCGACTTTGTTTTTCTCCCCCTTCAGATGGGCTGGACTCAGCCACTCTCTGATCCTCCTGAGAGGGCAAAGGAGCATTAAGGAGCTCTGCAAAGCCCAGGTGCTCTACAAGCTGCAAATGCTGCCGGCACCCCAGCCCACCCTCCACCCCTCCACACAAACCCATGTGAGGAGAACCTCCTGATCCACCCCACCCACCCCCAAGAAGGGCCTGGGTGCAGGCAGGGTTACTGCACAGATGGGAAGACTAAGGTCCCAGCTATGCAGGGTGGGCCTTGACCCACCAGGACCTCTCCCCACCAAGATGGCAGTCACAGCCCCACCCACACAAACGCTGCTTGGGAGGCGGCAGTGGGGCAGTCTCTCTGCCTTCATCATTTAATGGCCATTGCGGTACAATTAGTGGACAGACGGGTGGACAGGACACAGCGGGGCATGGGATGGGGCGGTCACAGCTGGGAATGGGGGTGTGGACAGCTGCTGCTGTGGACACCGAGACACTGAAAGGCCAGTGTAGACGGTGGTCCGAGGCCATTCAGACTAAGGGCTACAACTGCTTCCTAGCAAATGTGTTTGGTTTGGGAAAACCAGTGTTTATAATGGGGTAGTGGGAGGCAGCTGGAGGGCCACAAGGCTGGGTGCTGTCCCTCTCCTCTGAGGGACATGAGGAGGGGTCCCTGGTAAGGAAAGCCTGGGTCAGGCCAAATCCCAACCTGTGCCATGGACGGTGGTGAGGGCCGTGTGGTCCTCAAAGCAGACCCTGGGGTGGTGTCACTGGGAGTGGATGCATGGGCTGGCGGCCTGCTGTCCTAGCTGGGAACAGCTGTGAGTGTGACCCCACAGAGCCCTGGCCTGGTTAGAGCTGGGACCACTGGGCACAGACAGAGGGTGAAGGGCAGTGGGAGACGGAACACAGAACACAGTTCAGGGCACAGCCCTGGGTTGCAGAAACATGTTCCAGGCCTCAAAGAGCTTAGCAGAGCATTGGGGCCACAGTGGTAGCTGGCTGTACCCAGAGAGGGTGGCGTGATTGGCACGGGAGGAGGCCAGGGCCCCGCAGGCACTGCAGGCATGTTGGGGAGGGGGCCTCAGGCTTCGGGGCCCTGTCCAGGTCGGAGCAGCCCTCCCTGGGCAGGAGCAGGGCCGGGCCAGATGGCTTTAGAGGCCAGTGGGGACGGAGCCATTGGTGGCAGGGGTGTAGAGGCAGCTGCTGTGGGCGTCCCGGCTGAGGCTGTAGGTGAAGTAGGCCACGGCAGAGCCCAGCGTCAGCCCTGACATGTAGGACACAGTCATGGTGTTCCCTGAGGACAAGACCGAGCTGAGGTGGGGGAGGGGCGGAGCAGCCACCGCTCTCAGACCACAGGAGCAGAGTCCACGCCATGCTGGACAAACCCACGTGTGAAATAGGGTGACAGCTGCTACCTCCCAGGGAGTGTGTGACCCCCCTTGCTCATCCAGGGAACACCCTCTCAGGCCCTCATCCTTCCTAGCAGGATGCTTCTGTTTCCTTAGGTCATCTTGCTGGGGCACCCCAGACCTCACCTGATTTGCCCCAGGCCTCGCCTGATTCTCTGATACCCTCAACCCCCACATTTTTATCTCCAGTCTCTGACCTTCAACCTCCTCCCTGTCAGGGACAATTTGAGATGTCTAATGGGCACTGCAAACATATCATGTCCCAAACCTGACTCCGACGTCCCTTCCCCAGGGGCTACCTCCCACCTCAGCAGATGGCAACATCAACGTTCTTGCCCCAAACCTGGGGGACCCCCTTAACTCCCCTTCTGTCTCTCCTACCCCACCTCCCAGTCTAGCAGCTGGCCTTGTGGGCTCTCCCGTCAAAACAGATTCGGAATCCAGCACCTTCTCCCAGTTCCACAGCAACTCCCCGCCACGCTCCCACCCCGCCAATTGTGAGCCTCTGTGCACAGGGTCTGGCCTGGTGCAGCAGCTCCCCATTCACCTCCCCACCCCTGCCCGTGCTTTCCTCGCCGAGCAGCGGCCAGAGGAGTCCTTTATAAACACAGTCGGATCCTGCCCCGCTCTGCCCTCACCGGCCCACCCCCGCCCAGCACATCGCTGCTCCTGCCTCAGGGCCTTTGCACGCGCTGCTCGCTCTCTCCTGATGCTGTCCCCTCGCATCTTCACGTGGCTGGTTCCCTCACTACTTCCCCCAGGTCTTTGCTCAAAAGTCCCTCCTCAGTGAGGCCTCCCCAGATTGCTCCATTCACACTGTGATTCCCCCACCTCGACTCCCCATCCCATTTCTCCACTTTATTTTTCTCCTTCATACTCACCACCATCCAACATGTTGCATCTGTTCTGTGTCTGTTTATTGACTGTCTCCACTTCTAGGCTGCCAGCCCCATGAGCATGTGGGGCACTGTTTTGTCACCACTGTGTCCCTAGTGCCTAGAACGGTGCCTGGCACATGGGAAAACCTCACCAAGTAATTGTGGAATGAATGAATGAAGTGACTGAAAAATGTCCCCACACCTATGACCTCCCTGACATTGACTTGACTCCTGGAACCCAAATACACCTTCTTGCTGTCTGGCTTTGGTTTTCTCAGTCGGGGGGAGGGGTGGGCCTTACCCGCCAGCTCCCGCTGCTTGGGGCTCACTTTGCTTGCTGCCAGGATCATGGGCACACTGCCGAAGTAGCCGTTGCTGATGCCCATGAGCAGGGAGAAGACGCAGGGCCAGGCGGGGTGGCGGAGGGCGGGCGTGCCGCTGGGGTAGACGCACAGGATGAAGAGGGGGATGAAGACCACACGCAGGCAGGAGCAGGCCAGCAGGTGGGTGCCCCGCCAGTCCGTGGGCAGGGCCGCCAGGATCTGTCAGGAGCCAGGCATGTGGGTGCCTGCCTGCCTGGCCTCCCTCGCCCCTCCCCCAGCCCACCTCCAGCTACACCCCTGTCCCCAAACACTCCGTGCTCTGTACAGCTCAGCTGGTGTCCTTGCCCTTCTCCAGCTCTGCCCTCTAAAATCCACCAAATTCCACTCACAGCAATACACAGTCCTTGCCATGTGTCAGTGCCAATCCGAACGCTATACTATACCCTCACTCCATCCTTAAAGTGCTCTGTGAGTGGGTCCTTTACCCTATTTGAGAAAAGAGGACACTGAGGCCCAAAGACTCAGGCCAGCAGCATCAACTCACACAGCTGGGAAGTAGCAGGATCAGGATCAGGATCTGAACCCGCTAATTGGGCCTCGCTCTCTCTCGGAGCACAGACTCGTTTCTTGGACCTTTCAGCTGTGTGACCTCAGGCAAATGGCTTCCCCTCTCTGAGCCTCATGATCTCCATTAAGACAAGGCCCATCCCAGGCCTGTCCAGAGCACCAGAAATGGCAGCTTTGATCCTACTCCAGCCCTGACCGCCAGTCCCGCCTGCACATGCTGCCCAGATTCTTCTTTGGGCCGTTGCTGGGTGTTCCTTCCCTCTCCAGGTACTTCCAGTGGCCTGAACCTGCACTCACCCCTGGAGGACTGCCCCAGAGACTGGTTAACCAGTGACTGTGGGGTAGGAGGACGAGAGCCGAGCCGGGCCTGTCGGACGCAGCTTACACTCAGAGCTCCCCTGTGGGATCAGGCAGGGGCCGCTCCCCAAGGGACACTGTCTGGGATGGTGACATTACTTGGCTGCCACCTCCCCACATGAATCCTTAGTCCACGGACACTTCCTGGATGGGCCAGGTTCTCTCAGAGGCTGCCCTGGCAGTGTGCCACCCCCACCGTGTGTTGTCCCCACCACCATGGGCAGGAGTGGGGGCCCACCTTGCCCACGAAGTCTGAGAGGTTGAACACAGCCATGATGAGGATGGGCAGCCACTCGCCCAGAATGCAGTGGCGGATCTCAGACTCGAGGCCGGGGAAGAGGCACAGCGTGATGAAGTAGGTCACAGCAATGGACAGCATGTCGGCCCAGATGACCCGCGCCACCGCGTAGCGGTGCATCAGCAGGGCTGGGGGGCGCAGGGTGGGGTCAGTGGCCAGCGCCTCCAGCCTGGGCACCACCCACACTTGCAGAGGGGCCAGGGGGCCCAGGCTCACCTCTGAAGGTGGGCCAGCTCCGCTTGACTCTCAGCGGAGGCACGTCAAAGCGCACATAGGCCCGCCCGCTGCCGCCGGTCACTTCGTGGGCTGGACTGTCCTTCAGGGACCCGCTGTTGGCCAGGGCTGGGGCTTGGTGTTCCTGGAGGAAGGACGGAATGGGACAGGGTTTGGATGGGAGGAACCCATGGGAGGAGAAGACACACTCTGGCTGACATTCAGTTAGTACCTACTGTGTACAGGCACCTCCTCCCTCACTTTACCAAGCTCTCAGACTTTTGAGGTGACAAATTCCATCTCGTCACTCTCATGAATTCTCTACTGGCTTCTGACCAAATGAAGCACAGCATCTGACACCCATTACCCAACACTGCCCAGAGGCCCCTTGAGGCGACCCACCTGCAGCTTCCCTGCTGTCCCCCAAACGCACCAAGCTCCTCCCAGCCTCTGAGCCTTTGCACATGCTTTTCCTTTTGTCCTCAACACCCTTCCTGTGGGTATTGGCACCTCCCCATCAGGTGGGGCAGGTCTCAGCCCAGTACCTGCTCCTTGGGGAACTTCCCTGACCATGAAGGATGCCCACAGCATCCTCTCCCAGACCTTTCCTTTTCCATCATAGGCTTGTCTTGGGGCCTGTGGGCTCCATAGGGGACCACATTTCTGGCTCACTGCAGTGTCCCCAGCCACAGGCCCAGGTTACTTGCTGGATCAATGCCTTGTGACCTTCCACATTCCATTTTGCTGGCGAGAACACTGAGGGGCCCGAGGACCCTCAGGAACCAGGACTGATGGCTCAGCCAGCCCTGCCTTCCTCCATGTGGCCAGGTGTTCTGACCTCCTTATCCTCAGGTGTCCTTAGACCTCCACAGTGGCCAGCCCTGGGCCCTGGGGGCTATGTAGCCCTGCCACCACCAGAGGGCACCCCCGCTCCCCTGGATGGCCGCCTCTGCCTGCGGAGCCTGAGGTACTAGCCACACACCCGCAGGGTTTTCTGTGCTGGGGACTCCACAGGGAAGGTGCCTCTGTGCTGTGCTGGGAGAGCCTGCCACAGTCAGCTCCAGAACTGAGCCCTGGCCCTCCGTCTCTGCCCGTCTTCCTCTGTTCCCGCCTGGGCGCCCACCCCGATTCCTGGCTGGCTCCTGGGTCCTCTCCTGTGGGAACTTTGGGGGCGCTGCCACGCTCCCGTGACTCCTCTCCCCTGACCCTGGTGGAACCCAAGGTATCCGTGAGCCTTGATTTCCCTCCTGGGATGTCTTGTCTCTAGGTTAGGGTGAGAGCATGTGAGCTGAGCCCAAGGAGGACTGTCCCAGCCGGGTAGACCTCAGCCCACAGGACATAGGCTGTCATCATAGAATGGAAACTTTATAGAATGTGGGACGGTGCACACCCCATATCGTGGAACACAGCGGCTGGACGGAGCCTCAGCCGTAGCTGGACAGAGCCAGACAGTTGGTGGGGCCTGAGACCGCAGGACTGTGGTGCCTCAAAGGGACAGAACCTTGGTCCTCAGATGCAGGAAGATTCAGCGTTCCGGAAGGAGCCTCAGACCACAGAGGCAAGCTGAAGCCTGAGACTGCGGGGTGTGGGGTGGGGTGGGGGGGCACAGCGGGGACGCTCAGCCAGGGGGTGGCGCACACGGCAAGATCTGGTTCCTCTGCCCTTATCTCTCGGCGGGGACAAAAGAAGGAACCGAGGCAGCACTTGGGCCCGGCGTCCCCGATGGGGCCAAGGCCGGACCTGGCGCCGAGGAAGGCGCGCACTTACGAAGTGGATGTCCCCGGCGGCGACATCGTGGTGCACGCGGTAGCCGGCGCCCCGGCCAAGGCAGCTCCGGCGGCTGTCGCGGGGCCGCGTGGTGTAGTAGAGCACGAAGCGGCTGCGCCGCACCAGCAGGTGCAGCAGGAAGCAGAGCAGCTCCAGACCCACGGAGACCAGGAAGAAGATGAGCGTGCTGGCGCGCTCGTCCGGCAGCAGCAGCTTGG